TTGAGTAATCTATTGGTTATTCCATGGATTAATTGAGTAATGGGATAGGAAATACTTTTTTACTTGTGACGTGAGCAAAGAAAAAGAAAATTCAAATTAGAAAAGAAACAGGTCTTCCAGAATGAACTGCTCATTGGTTTCCATTATAGAAATTGCAGTGTTGAAACATTTAACTGCATACTACATTTGTCAGAAAAACAACTCTTTGAGTGTATGTGCTGCAGTGAAATTACTTTTTTTTTTTTTTTTATAAAGAAAATATTTTCCTAAATGCAAAAATATGTAAACATTCAAAGTCAAATAAAATGAGATGTATACAAAATTGAGACATTGGCATGCTACAGGGCTGTGTGTGAAGCATCAATGAATTTGAGGTTTGTTTGTTTTTTCTATAGTTGAATTATTTGAGTTACTCAATGAATTGTTGCAGTACCCCCCCCCCCCCCCCCTTAAAAGAAAAAGAAGAAAAAAATCTCTTGTGATAGTGCGGGTTCACAGCTGACAATGTGCCCTCTCTTTCACCTTCTGATGTCCAGGAAACTGCTGTTGGACTGGGTATATTCTCCCTGACCATCCTGGGACCATCGGGGTGGATCCTGGCTCATCTGGAGGACTACAAGAAGAAAGAGTAGCATGGCCATTTTAAGAGTTTACTTGGCATGTTCAGTGTCCGTGTTCAGTGACAGCTTGGGACCATCACATTTATTCTAACTGCAGAGACGCTTATGGAACAAGTTTTACCGTTTAACTCTTCTACCTCTCTGACAGTTCCACTCCAACTTCCCCCAAGATTGTCTCTGATGCGTTGAGTTCATGGATATCTGTTGGCATTCCTCACAAGAAGTATGTTACAGAATTAAATTATAAATGACAGTTACTGTTTCTGTGTATTTGTTTGTTTTTGATGAAGGTTTTACATTAACTTAAAAAAAAGGAAAATATATATAAGACTAGTGTATATTTTTACAGGGGCAGTGGTAGGTAGAGTGGTGGCCCCATGATCGGACGGTCGGGGGTTCGATTCCCCTGAACAGCTACCCTGAGGTACCCCTGAGCAAGGTACCGTCCCTACACACTGCTCCCCGGGCGCCCAGTGGCTGCCCACTGCCTCACTGAGTGAATGGGTTAAATGCAGAGAGGGATTTTCCCCACGGGGACCAATAAAGTACACTTTCTTCTTCTTTTGTGAGTGGGATGTTTCCCACCTACTCTGGGGGTAAAAAGAAATCCCGTCACGAAATCTTAAAAAACAAAGGTATAAAGAGTGCTTCAGTTTTACTACACCTTAAACATCAGCAATGACAGGTTTGTGAAAGAACTTTTACCCAACCTTAATTTATCCCAAATACTTGTATAAAAACTCCTTACACTGATCAATTCTATCATGCTGTATAATACTTCATGATTACAGGTTTTATTAGAGTTTAATCTTTTAAGTTTTAGTGGCTTCTAAAGAGAAGTCAACAGATGTTTCCTCGGGTTATTTGAGTTGCAGAACTGATCAGTGGTTAGTCCAAGTTTCACTTTAGCACGAACATGTTTTACCAGGAAAAAACACATTTGCCACTTTAGAAGTCTGCAAGAAGTTTGTTCTGTAACATGGTTATCAGTCAGATGGGATATATAGTTGGGGAAAAGCTTTATTTGATCTCCTGCTGAATTTGTAGGCTTGCTTACTTAAAAAGAAATGAACAGTTGATCATTTTTATAGTTGTGATTTAGTGGAAAGAAAATGTCAACCAAAAATCCAGAAAAACACTCAAAAAGTATCCACTGATTTGTGTATCATCAAATGAAATGACTATTTAATTCCCCAACAACCCCGTCAGAGTTCTGGCTCGCAGTGATGGGCACACAGACCATAATCAGTTACAGATGTTCCTGATCGCGACTAATTATTATGAAGCACACCACTCCACAGAATCAATTTCTTCCATTCCACACGCCTCTGTGTGTCCAACGATGTAATTAATATGCGACACGAAAGCTCCAACCGAGGTGGACGTTGAAGCAAGAAAATACCTGCTGCTCGGTCTGTTGGCCATGTACTGTGAAGTCTTGGATGAAAACCTCCTTTCCTCAGCCAGAAGACTGAAGATGGATCTTCCAGCATGACGATGAATCAAATTATAGTGCCAAGGCAACAAAGGAGAAGCACTTTAAGGTAATGGAGCGGTCAAGCCAGTCTCTGAAACACATAAAGGCTAATATACACCGAGCCCTGCTAGAAATGACACTATGTCAAGCTTAGATTTTTAAAAACATGTTCAGCACCATCTTCTGTCAGTACAGCACGTCACATCATGTGGTTGGTTGTGGTAATAGATTTATGTTGGCAAACTAGTGATAGGATCGATAACTAACAAGACTAAAATCAGTTTAAGGGGATCACATTCGTGGTGCACCTGACTGCAACGGTGAGTTTCATGTTAAGAAAACCAGGATATACTGCCCACTGTCTGTTTAAATGGTACATGTAGCACTTTTGTATTCTCCCAGAGCACTAAAAGTATTTTACACAACATGCCACAGTCACTTTCTTCAGCTTTAAGTGCTTACTATCTAACATTCACACTCTGATGGATGCATCGGAGAGCAACTTGGGGTTAGCATCTTGCCCAAAGATCTTTGGTACACAGACTGGGGGAGCCAGGGATCGAACCGCCAACCTTCTGATCAGTAGATGACCAGCTTGACCTCCTGAGTGGCTGTTAGTTGTTTGGCTAGTTGGACTCAAACAGGAAAATCCAACTGTTAGTTGTAATGTTGGGGTTTGTAAAGCACTTTATAAATGAGGACTGTGTAGAAGAGACGCTTTACACGTGTAGCGTTTCATGTCCTCTTTAACCTTAAAAAAAGCTGTGGAGGGGGAGGAGTTCGCCAAAATGCCTCCTGAGATCTGTGCAAACCTGGTGATCAACAACAAGATCACAAACATCTTACCACTGTTCTCGCTAACAACCTGTCTGCGCCAAGTACTAAGTTATGTTTTGTGATTAAAACACTTAATTCACTCAATGACATATGAATCAGTTTATAACTTGTGTTTTTTGTGAGTGTGTGATTTTTAGTTGATATAATTTCTCTCTCCATTAAAATGAAACTCCCTTCAAAATGAGAGATTCTTCATTAATTAGTGTGTGCTCTGTATGCACTCACATAAAAGAGGGCATTTGATGCACCATTTAACTCTTCAGCACAAAGTGGATTGTGTTCTGAGTACTAACAGACTTTGCTATTAAGCCAAAAGCATAAAAAATAACAGCAAAATGCAACACAGTATCCCAGTATTTGTGTGTGTGTGTGTGTGTGTGTACACATATTTTACAAATTAAATAGAGTAAACAATAAATAAAATATATAAAAATATACAGAGTTGAGACATGTGCAATCCTAAGGTTTGGACACACACACACACACACACACACGTAGAAAAATATTTAGTATTCTTGTATTTTGCTTGTTTTACATTATTGTGTTTTGCACAACTCTGTTGCTTGTGAAGCTCGCACACAAGAATTTCACTCACATGTGCTGTACCAATGTACCTGCACATGTGATGTGACAATAAAAGTGATTTGATTTGATTTGATTTGACCTTTGACTGTACTGTACGTGGTTGTGGACAGATGGCTACAAAATCTCCATGTACACAAACTAACTTTACTGTATCCCATTTATGTAAATCTAAATTTGGTCTCACGTTTTGCGGAAGCCAATGTGCTCAGCCATTCACTCTGCTTGATGTCAGCACTGGATGCTACCATTTAAATGTGAAATCAATTAGTGCAGAGGTGTCAAACTCAAATACACAGTGGGCCAAAATTCAAAACTGGAACAAAGTCGCGGGCTAAAGTTAATATTTATTGAAAAAAAAATCTTCCTCCAGATATAAGAATGAATCTCTTCTTATGGACTCAAACAAGTTTTGCTGAAAAACTGAATATGGAACAAGCAAAGCTTAATACTAAACAATATATATATTAGCTGTATAATACCAGTAGGCCAGCTCTAATAATAATTTGGTATGGCTTCGCGGGCCAAATGTAACTAGGCTGCGGGCCAAATTTGGCCCGCGGGCCAGAGTTTGACACCTATGAATTAGTGGAACCACAAGTTGTCTTTTCTTCTCATTGTTTCTGTTGAGTGTAGTAGTTTCCACATTCAATGTCTCCTATGTTTGATGCTGGGAGAGGGAACAAACCCTCTGGGTTGGGGGTTGTGTAAGTCCAAGCAGGTCTTAAAATCTGCCAAATGGCAGATTGTGAAAGTTGTTCTTATTCTTTCTATGGAGAATTATTTCTTAGCTTTATTGTAATCAATAAAGATATAGTAAAAGAATTCTTGAAAACAAACTTTCTTACTGGAAAGCCTAATGAGTACTTCCAGGTGATGTTAAAGAATTACCTCGAGCTAACATAATGGTCACACAACAGTGAAAAAACTCCAACCACGTGGGGCCCGTGTAAATGTGGAGGATTGCATCAGAACAGTTATTAGTGTCAGATTTTTGGCAAATGAAAACTTCAGATCATCAACAATAAATGGTAAATGGCTTGTATTTGTATAATGCTTTACTCAGTCCCTAAGGACCCCAAAGCGCTTTACACTACATCCAGTCATCCACACATTCACACACTGGTGATGGCAGCTACACTGTAGCCACAGCTGCCCTGGGGCGCACTGACAACGTGATGTTGGATTTTTGAGGCGCAGGTAAACACGGACTGTCACCAGTGCTGTTGACCAGCAGGGTAGGAGATCCACTGAGGCAACGCCTGAGAAGTCAAAGGAAGAAGATGGTGTTGAGAAAAGACTGCCAGCATTATTCAGTGTAAGAAGAATATTCACGTTTGTAACACTGCTGCTAGTGTTTCGATGTAACATGTTTTGGTCCACGCGGACTTCCATATGTTCCACACGTATCAGCTGACGGGCAGATGATCACGTGACAATCACCTGCTTCCTGGTCTGACAAGCGACAGATTTTGCAGGTAACCTGTGTTATCGCTCTAATGTTAGACGCGTGTTAGCTGCGGATTTGTAATTCCCGATCCTGTGCGGAACATTTCCGAGACTGTGCAGTATTACGTGTACACACCACTACACGTGAAATATTCCGCTCCGGTCGACTTGCTTCACTTGTTAGCATTAGCAAGTACTTCCGATCATTTACTAAAGTATAGTTTTGGACACTAATGACTGTTTGTCATTGGCCCTTTCTGCATAGGAATACAGACAGATTGTTCAGATACAAATATTTATCGGAGGAGGCATTTGAAATAAGCTAAGCGCACACTTAGTAGTTTTTACTTTTCCAACTTGTATTTTTCTCACACACACTCAGTGAGAGCTTACTACTATGAGGCTGGTCATTCTCGACGACTATGATCTGGCCAGTGAGTGGGCAGCAAAATACATCCGCAACAGAATAGTCCAGTTTAAGCCTTCTGCTGACAGGTTCTTTACTCTGGGCTTGCCAACAGGTGAGTAACAACAATACCCATGTTGCGAAAAATGAGTCCTGCAATGTGAAGTCTGTGTTTCCCCTCTAAGTAGGATTTGTCTCATTTCTCACAGGTAGCACTCCTTATGGCTGTTACCAGAAGTTAATTGAATACTACAGACATGGTGATATTTCATTCAAATATGTGAAAACGTTTAACATGGATGAATATGTCGGTGAGTTAAAGGATAACTGACTCAGCTTTTTCCTCAGTATTAGTTGTGCAACTCTAAGTGGGCTCTTTGGAGAAAGTGTTTTTGAGGTGGGGCTGTGTACTGGGAGACAAAACCAGAATTTCAGCAGTGTAAACTAGCAGCTTTGCAGCTGGCTCAAGTCTGGTGACAGTGTGTTAACTGTGACTAATGAGCTGCATTAAAGTTGATATGTCACAGTTGACAACAGAAACAAAAATGTTACAGCCAGTTTTAAAACGGGCCCACAGACGTTTATCATCTTATCAGTAGTGTTACAGCATCACAGGCTCAAATCAGAACCACTTGATTCTCTGTTGTAACCCTCAAACACTTACCTAAAAGCAGATAACGCATAAAAGGAAATGGCATCAAAAGAGTTTGTTGCTCTATAAAAAGCTCCCCATAAAGCTTGGATATCATATTTTTCATCACTGATTGGAGAAAATAGACAAACCGTGGGTTTGTCTTCAGCTCTGTATGCAGGCTGATAACGAGTCGGTGCTCTGCTGAGCCAAACATTCCTTTAACCTTAACTTGAAATGACCTTCTTGAAATTCCTCATAAATAAAATTTTAACCATTTGGGGAAAATATTCATAATTGATACTTGCCTATTGATATTTATTTAGACTCTTTCTCTCTGATCACATCCTCCACTGTGTCTATTAGACCCCATTCCTACAATGCTGCTTAATGCCGCTTGCATGTGCAGCACCTATGCCGGGGCCTCGTCTCGGTAGGACGTGCCCGGCCAGAACAACTTATCCAGGAGGCGCCAGCCTTAGCTGTCTCCTTTCGATGTCGTGTAGCGGCTCTACTCTGAACCCCTCCTGAAGGACTGAATTTACCCTGTTGCTAAGGGGAGCCCATCCACCTTTCAGAGAAAGTTAGTTTCCTCTGCTTGTATCTGCGATTTCATTCTAATAGTGTTAACAGAAAGATGAGGCACAGATGAACAGATTTATGCAGCCGTCTCGCACCAGATGGCAGGAGACACAATAATTTAGTGGCGTTGGGCATCAATTAAAATGTTAACAAATCTCCATATTAGCTTATCTTAATTGGATCCCTGTTAAATCCAGAATTTAATTTAAAATCCTTCCCCTTGCATACAAAGTCCCATTTTTTTATGTTAAGGACCTCATAGTACCGCATCACCCCAACAGAGCACTTTGATCTTAGGCTGCTTAAATAACCTCATGATCAGGTTATGTGTTCAGCTTAGGTGTCAGTGGTGACTTAGCCAAGTAAAAAGAGACAGTTTCATGACACAGAAACATGTGACCTCGAGCTCAGAACTGCTCACTAAACCATTTATTTCTCATTGTAGTCCACCATCAGGCTTAACAGGACTAAAATACTCAGTAGCTTTGGGCTAGCAGTAACAGAATGTACTAACATTAGTAAGTTGTATGAAGAGATTTTCATCAAACTGAGTGATCAAGAGTGATACTCTACACGATTAGTTACTTTGAGCTATTTATTTCTTTTTCATTCGGCTTTTCTTACTAATTTCACTCTCAGTAAACACGTTTTTGCTGTTCAGGTCTACCTCGTGCTCATCCCGAGAGTTACCACTCCTACATGTGGAACAATTTCTTCAAGCACATTGACATTGATCCAGCCAACGCTCACATTCTTGATGGAAATGCACAGAACTTGGAGGAGGAGTGTCAGGCTTATGAGCAGAAGATCGCTGAAGCTGGAGGAATCGAGTTGTTTGTTGGAGGTCAGACGTGTGGCTTTTGATATAGATTGCACAGCAGTGCTGCGTGGTATGCAAACTATTTGTGAAAGTGTTGTGACTGCAGATTGTGGCTGTTTCACTACATTATTATTATTATTGTTGTTTCTATCTCTGCACAAGTGGAGTGGCGTTTTTCTGTTGGGATATTATTAATATAAGTAATACACCAATGGTATACAAAGAAATAAAAGATAAACCCAACAGCTAAAACAATAAAAAATCTATTCTTGGCTTCCTTTTTTTTCGATTTGGAGTTCTAAGCTTTGGCATGACTTAACCTTTGATTAGAAGGAAAACCTGCTAGCTTAGAGTAAACTGTACCTTTGCCACATCTCGTTCGCTGTTATTGTGCAAAGTTGCCTGAACTCAAGGCAGTTGTTCTTTTCTGTGCTTGAGTCGATCACAGACAGCTCCTCATTTGAACTGTTTTTTTTTCGTTTCTTCATCATCCATCAATATTTACTCTTCTTGAATGTAGCAATGTTTATGCTAACGTGCTAGATAGCATTACTTGTGTGCTCAGTGGCCAGATAATTTAATATATGGTCACTGGGCACACCGGCTGTGGCAAACTCCTGTGAATAAGCGAGCAGCCAAAAATAGCTTTATTGTTACAAATTGTTTGGTTTACAAATTCTGTGTTCCATGTTGTTTGCTCTGTTGTTAAATTTGCATTATGTAAGTAAGTAAGGTTTATTTATTAAGTGCTGTATGGCTGAAGCAGTTCATGATATGTGGAGTCATGTGACCGTGGAGGGCTCTGAAAGGATCACTGAAGTCCGCATGTGTCACATGAAGCCTCGCAGCAGCATTGTGAACCATCTATAGGCAATCCAAAGATGATTTGCTCAGGCAGAGGAATAACAAATGACAGTGATCAGGGCGAGATGAAAGCATGCGTAATCATTTCCATTTGACTTTGAGACACAACATATTCACGACGGATGCAGCAGCGCCCCCTGCACAGCCATCCCGCCCCCAGACAGGGTTTAGGAAAGTGGGGTGGAAGAAGACCCACCTGCTCTCCTCCCTGCTTGTCTGTTATAAAGTGGCCTGTTGGTTGCATGTGTTGGTTTGCCTTAGTGTATGAGGTGTTAAGAGTGTGATTGAGGGGATAGATGCAACACAAGCACGAGCACTCGATGCGCCTCTTAAAGCCCTCGAGATCTGAGGTCCACATAAATGCACTGTACTTTTTAAAAAGAGGGTCAATAACAGTCTGATTAAAATGCGTAGGGACACAGCCAGGCGTCAGAGAATGAGTAATTCTCTTATGAACTCAGGGTCAGATGGCGTAAGAGCTTTTTGAACAGTAAGGTTGGCTGATTGTGGCAAATAAAAGGTTTGAATTCCCTCGGCCGCTGTAGATGAAATTAGAAAAATATGTAGCCCTCGCATCTTTGTCTGTGTTGTTAAAGGAGTGAAGTAGTTAGAAAACTATGTGCAAAATGTCACCGTTGCAGCACCTACTACTATGTCATAGGGATCAATTCATTTCATTTTATGCTCTTTACCACATGCTGTTGAATTTTGTTCTGTAGGTATTGGTCCTGATGGTCACATAGCATTCAACGAGCCTGGCTCCAGCCTGGTTTCCAGAACGAGAGTGAAAACCCTCGCAAAGGACACCATTGTGGCAAATGCTCGTTTCTTTGGCAATGACCTCTCCAAGGTTCCCACAATGGCTCTGACTGTTGGTGTAGGAACTGTCATGGATGCCAAGGAGGTCAGATTAAAGGGCACTTATTTCAGTCCTTTTTTTGTCCTGTTTACACACTTTACATGCAAAATATTTGCACAAATTTTACCTCTTGTGTGTGTAAAGGCCTTAAGAAAAGCCAGCACGCAGAATTTTGACAGCGAATATTTTACCAGCTGATGTTTATTGAGACTGTTTCTCTTCTGTAAGGGCTACTCCGTCTCAAGTTGCAGACATTTTCTACTCGGCCGTCTCCAGTTTGTACAAAAATGTTATCGTGCAAAAAATTTGAACATAAATAATAAGTGCTGTGAAACTTTAGCTTCATATATCAAATACTTGTCAAGATGTACTTTTTGAAAAATGCTCCACTGACCTTCTTTCCAACCCTTTTAAACTGCAAAAGTTTGAACATTACTATCTCCAAACTTCCAACAAACCACTACAAACTGACGTTTTCACTAGTCTCTCTCACCATTAAAGACGAATCAGGATCTAATTTGGGATAGGTGCATTAAAAACAGTGTCTATTGTATTTCATTTATATATGAAAAAAGTCCAGCACTCCTGTCACGTACTCGATCACACACGAATAACAATTACAATATAAAGTTGCTTGAATAACCATGGTTGTGGCTGCTGCTAAATATAGTCATTTCAGTACAATAAAACTTTAACACACTTTTCCTCTGCTCAGGTGATGATTCTTATCACGGGAGCACACAAAGCTTTTGCTCTCTACAAAGCCATAGAGGAGGGAGTTAACCACATGTGGACAGTATCAGCGTTCCAGCAGCACCCACGCACCATTTTTGTCTGTGATGAGGATGCCACCTTGGAACTCAGAGTCAAAACTGTCAAATACTTCAAAGGTACCAGTCACTCCTGTTGTGTGTGCCTGTTTCTAATACCTGCTTATTTTTAACTAAAAAGCTACAGTGCAGGTAACTGATTAGAAAAATGCTAACTGACTTAAATGTGTACCGTAAGTACAGGTATGTGAACCAAAAGGACTAAAATGTCATCCTTAAAGCGATCAAACAATTTAGCTTTAGCTAACAAATGATAAATGGGCTGGTTCTTATGTTTCTCTACCTGACTGCTTTATACAACTTTCCTCATGCAACATATGTAAATATGTTGAAAAATGCAAAAGCTTGTAGAATAAAATCAACAATGTGTGGAAAACCTTAACTAGTACATTTTTTTTAACACACTTGTGTTTAAATTTAGCTACACAAATAGACCGAGAGCTGCAAACTTACATATTTACTTATATATGCTTAGCATTAGATTAGCATTAGCTTAGATATTTGACAGGCATTGAGTCCACATCCCAGCAGTTTGTTTTACTCTTTTCATTTTTGTTGTAGGTTTAATGCATGTCCATAATAAACTGGTGGACCCAGTGCTCAGCATAAAAGACCAGTAAAGGAGCCAGTGAATAAGGAAGACAACTGAAGGTTGTGACCAATGATTTCTGGATTCAACATCTGTTCCACGTCTGAAGAGCTGGTGTTTGAGTCCTTAACTGTGCATGTTGCTTATTCAGAAACTTACTTTGAATGTTATTCTTTTCAGACTGTTACTGATTATTAGTGAAAGGTCACTGTTCATTTATGTTGCGATGTAGTTATAACACAAGTTTACCTATCCGAGGTGTTTTGTTTAATCTTTAACTAATTAAAACTAGTTAATGTTTAACTCGTTTTTTCAGGATTACTTTTTTCTATAAAGTAAAGACCATAAACAAAACGCCCAAATTTGTTTGGTGGTTGAAGCGAACCTAGACTCTTTGTCCATATTCATTCCCAAAGTAGAAGGCAACAATGTGCGGACAACAGTTCAACAAAAGAAGCAAATGTGATGTGTATGTTGGTCAAATCTTGTCAACCAAATAAACACTGTACATGTAGATATATTTTAGGGTCCTCGTCAATTAATTAAAGAGAGCCTGTTACTGTCCAACAATAATTATCGGTCGGTGGATTTGAGTGTCTCACATGTGGATACTGTGAGTGGTTTTGAGGTGATGTTCCCAGTGTTTGAAGACTGAGATATGGTTTAATGCTCCTGTTAGAAAACCTTCTGTTGGGATGATTTTCTTTCACACTGCCAAAGAACAAAAATTAGTGTCAAAGTGAAAAACTCCACCCAGTTTTCTTTTACAAGGGGTTCATAACATGTGTCCCAGACATGTAAGGTGTTGGTTTCATACACTTACTGGACGAGTGTGTATTCCTATGTAATTAATTAATGCTGTTACACCTGAGTGTACTGAAATGCAGTGTGACTGCAGCATAAATTAAATTTGTCCTAACTTTACTTGAAACACATTCTTGTATATGTGCTTCACAATAACGGCTGCTTGACTTTTTGCTTCATGGTAAAATGGCCTGCATTTGTATAGCGCTTTTCTAGTCCCTAAGGACCCCAAAGCGCTTTACACTACATTCAGTCATTCATGGATCCGTCTCACTTGGATGTGGCCTTAGAAGGCAAGGGCCTGTTTCGTAGGTGGCCTATTGCCTAATCTGATTACGCCTCATAGCAGGATTTTACAAATGTCCAAAGCCTTGGGTTGGGCTCATACATCAGTTTTGATTTGGTGGGGATAATTAACAAAAGTGACAAAACATATTTTTATCACAGCCCTGATCACTTGACCATATATTGATACATACAAAACTACACATTTATACCTGAACATTGATATCACCATATGGGAAGACAGAATCACAATATAATGTCGGCATATATGTCATGATCTTGGTCTAAGTGGTCTTGTGTACCCCTACCAGACGATGTTCACAGTGATTCTACAGTTGTTTACCAGCAGAATAGTGTAATGTAACAAGATGATTGAACTGAATCTGTGTTTTTTAAGTAAATTTGAAGACTATTTTTAAAAAAAATGTATTTATTACACCCAAGGTTTTATCATTGATATTGGTTCTGTCTGTTGGACTTTGGGAAACACATACATAAAATGAAACGATATGATACACTGCTGCTCTGTCCCATATAGCCAGTGGTGTCAACCAAAGGGAGAGGAATTTATTGCCTTTGGGAGAGCAAAGAAGAGGATCCCAGACTTATATCTGTAGCTGCCTTTGTTGATTTACATAATTTGTTTAAAGAGCAAACCAGCAAATGACCCAAAAAATGGTGTTAATGGGTCAAAAACACTTGGCCTAGGTGTTGCCAGTGTCAAATCAAATCACTTTTATTGTCACATCACATGTGCAGGTACATTGGTACAGCACATGTGAGTGAAATTCTTGTGTGCGAGCTTCACAAGCAACAGAGATGTGCAAAATACAAGAATGGCTACATCTGAAACTAATAAATATATGTACAATATATAATAGTATATGCATTTCTGGATGTGTATACTAAATATTTTTCTACGTGTGTGTGTGTGTGTACACATATTTTACAAATTAAATAGAGTAAACAATAAATAAAATATATAAAATATACAGAGTTGAATATGTGCAGAACAAGTGGCATTACTGTACAGTGTGGAGTGCATAATGTTAAAGTTCCAGTAGTGAAGCTGAGGTGTCTATGACGTGTTCATCAGTCTGATGGCCTGATGGAAGAAGCTGTCTCTCAGTCTGCTGGTTCGGGACCGGATGCTGCAGAACCTCCTTCCTGATGGAAGCAGTCTGAACAGTTTATGGCTGGGGTGACTGGAGTCCTTGATGATCCTCCCCGCTTTCCTCAGGCAGCGCTTCCTGTAGATGTCTTGGAGGGAGGGAAGCTCACCTCCAATTATCCGTTCAGAGCACCGCACGACTCGCTGGAGAGCTTTGCAGTTGTAGGCGGTGCTGTTGCCATACCAGGTGGTGATGCATCCAGTGAGGATGCTCTCAATGGCACAGTGATAGAAGGTCCTGAGGATGCGGGGGCTCATGCCGAATCTTTTCAGTCTCCTGAGAAAGAAGAGGCGCTGCTGCGCCTTCTTCACTGTTTTGTTTGTGTTGCCCTAACTATAAGCTAAAACTATAAGTTTTAAACCTAATCTTAAAAGTAAACAGGGTGTCTCTTCCTCTGAATCCAACTGGTTCCCATTACAACTTTTAAATATGCTAGCAACCACAAGTAAGAGGCCAACAAGTGCTCAGCATCTCTGGGAACTCCTTCAAGACTGTTGGAAAACCATTTCAGGTGACGAAATCCTGAAGCTCATCAAGAGAATGCCAAGAGTGTGCAAAGCAGAATCAAAGCAAAATAATCTAAAATATGAAGCATGTTTTGAGTTATTTCACACTCTTTTGTTTACTGCATAATTCCCCATGGGTTCATTCATAGTTTGATGCCTTCAATGTAATTATTCATGAAAATACAGAAAACCCATTAAATGAGAAGGTGTGTCCAAACTTCTGACTGGTAGTAGAATAGAATAAACCTTTATTTTCCCACAGATGAGAAATGTGGGTGTTACACAGCTTTTATAGCAAGGGGAATATAAAATATAAAAGGAAGACACAAGGTGGTCCTATTTACATAAGCGATTGAAGTTCGTACATACAGGTAACAATGTACAGAATATGTATAGAAAAACTGTACATAACTATATATAAAATGTACAGTGAAACAAGCTGATGAGTAGGATGACCATGTTAAACTGTGTAATTTAGTCTGACAGCTGCTGGTAAGAATGACCTGCGATAGCGCTCCTTCCTACACTGTGGGTGCAAAAGTCTACTGCTGAACGAGCTGCTCAGTGCTCCTGACCAGTTTGAGTTCCCCCCTGTCCCTCTCTGCCATTCCACCACTCCAGCAGACCACAGCATAGAAAATAGCAGACGCCACCGCAGTGTCGTAAAACGTCCTTAGGAGTGTCCTGTTCACCCCGAAGGATCTCAGCCGCCGTAGCAGGTGGAGACGACTTAGACCCTTTTTGTAAAGTGTTTGTGGACCAGTCCAGTTTGTTACTGAGGTGAACACCCAGGTATTTGTTCTCCTCCACCATTTCAATGTCCAAACCCTGGATGTTCACTGGTGTAATAGGAGGTGGCTTCTTGCAGAAGTCAGTCACCAGCTCCTTCATCATGCTGGCATTGATGCAAAGATGGTTCTGTTTGCACCAACTGACGAAGTCGTTGATGACCCCCCTGTATTCCAGTTCGTTTCCCTCCGACACCCGGGCCACAATGGCAGCGTCATCCGAGAATTTCTGGAGATGGCAAGTGTCCGTGTTATAACTGAAGTCTGCAGTGTACAGGGTGAAGAGGAAAGGGGCGAGTACTGTTCCTTGTGGGGCCCCCGTGCTACAGACTACCACCTCAGGCACACAGTCCTGCAGCCTCACATACTGGGGTCTGATTCTTATATAGCGCTTTCCTACTCTCCTGGAGTTCTCAACACCACATGCCTCATACACCCTTTCACACCCACTCACATCACTTCTAAACTCAAGTGCAAACTAACCAACATTCACACTCCGATGAACGCATCGGACGGCAACTTGGGGTTCGTATCTTGCCCCAGGATATTTGGCGTGCAGGCTGGGGAAGCCAAGGATTGAACCACCAACCTTCCAATAAGTAGCTGATTTGGCATTATTTGAACTGAATTAAATTTCTCTCACTGGAGCCGTTAATGTGGCAGTCCTTTTGAGATGCAATTGAGAAGCTTTTCCAGCAAGACACTGCTGCCATTGCTGGTCAGTTTGATGCTGTTGCTTTGTCTGACTTGTCAAAGCTGGCTCAGGGTTGCGGGATGAGCATTCTAAGCAGAGATGCCCAGACCTCCCTCCTCAAAGTCATCTTCTCCACTTCTTCTGGTGAGACACTGAGAGATGCTGGAGAGATTATGTGAACCATGACACATAATCTCTCCAGCATTTCTTGAGCTTCTTCCAGGGTTTATATTTCCAAAACACCTCACGTAAGAACCACCCTAGTTAATGTCTCAACCACCTGAACTTGTCAAGAAACCAACAGAATGATGGACCTGTTTATTTATAGACTAAGTGGACAAAGAAAATCCTTGTCTGTGATGCTGTGACATCATCAGAGAGATGACAAAGATTTTACAGGTTGTCCAAAGACATGCAATCAGTCACTAAAGCTTACAGGGATCAGAAAATGCTGAGAAGTATACTCAGAAACAGGTTAATTCCAGTACTAGACTGGCAGAAATCAAGCAAACCCTACATGACTGAGGCCTGACACAATGATCTGATGATGACTGACTGTTTGCTTCAGTCTTAAGAGGCCAGAATAATAACCTGATGAGCAACGGGTGAGCTAATCAGCTGATCTCTTACAGGTGAGCAACCGACAAGGAAGTGGAGAAGCCTAGGTCTTGGTCCCCCACATTATAACTGTGTTCTGTGGGAAACAGGCGATGAGAAAAGAAAGCACAGGGCTGCATTTTATCAATCATTCTCTGGGACAACACTGCATCTACCCCAGAACCTGAAGCATCGATCTCCACAGTGAACTGCAGAGAAGGACCCAGTTGAGCCAGAACAGGTAAAGACGAAAACCAATGCTTAAGGCTTCCTGGGCTGAAGTCAGGTTAACGGAGCAAAGATTTTTGTATAGATCCTGATTTTTATTCTGGCCCTCACCACCCGTCACCTTTGGCATAATAAGACTTTGAGATAATAATGTGAATAACAAGATAAAATAAGATTAACAAGAGGAACCCAGAGTCTATAGCGCTCCTCTTGGCAAAGCAAATGTGTATGACACAACAAAGTCCAGAAGTGTGCTCCTGAAACTGCCGGACAGGACAAGTTTAAAAGAAAATAGATAAACAATTTTATATAAGGAATATCATCAACAAAATATTCAATTGCATAAACAACAAGTTGTTAACTATCACAAGAAGCATGGCTAAAAGTAATTGTGTGACTGGAATAAATACACGAATTCAGTGGCAGGCTATGAAATACTGATTGAAAAAAACATGGTTAATACTGACTGACAGTTTCTCACATGATAAACATTAGTGAGGTTTTCCCACTTCAACATCCAGTCATGTAAAACCATTGGAACCGTTTTTAGGCACTGATTTATTTTGTCACAGTGTATTGAGATAGTAGCCACAATACAGTATGAGCAACAATTACAGAGAATGGCACTGTATCACAGATGTGTGCTAGATGTGTTAATATGGCTTGAGTAGAATGAACATACAGCTCTATACCAGTCTTCCTCTCACAATGCTCATGATCACACAACATGCTTTGAGGTTTCTGGGCTGAATGAAAACAGCGCTTTTTTTTTAAAATGAGCTACTTTACAAAACAATGCTGTGGAAAATATTATTCAATCATTAGAGCAAATATTTAGGTAATCATTCCAGGTATTTGTAAGCAATAAACATTTGTTATATTTGTTTTAATAAATAAAAAGCATTGGAATCATCTTAAGTTACAAGAGGGGTGTGTTGAAGCTGTGGCGAATGAAAGACCATCACATTTTGTAGACCCTGTCTCGCCATAGACAAGCTATCAGTGCTAACACTAAAGACACAGCTTTGACAAAATGCACACTTTTTTATGAACGATTAGTAATCAAAAGCAAAATATCATTTTATCTCATCAGCACTATATTGAAATGCAATCTGTGGTATTTAAAAGCACTGTCATGATGAGCGTCAGGCCACAGTTTGGTAAACCATGTATGTCATTTCCTTTTGGTACAGTAACAGGATTATAAGGCTGCATCAACTTCTGCACTGCATTCTTTCAGCTTTTAATTATTTTGACCTGAATCAGCAAAAATGACATATTTGACTTCTATAGAAGATCAGAGACTTCTGCTTGATTTTTGGTTTCAGAGCTCGAACGTCATTACTAATGATCTGTTATCTAATTATTTACTGTTTTGTTAATACTAATAACTGCAGTAATCCTTATTTTACATAATTTGGTTCGATCAGTGACGGTTAACTAGAAATGAACACACTTTAACAATAACTACACTGTCAATGTTTGCATAGTTTACCACTTCTTTGTCTTCTTTGAGAATGACATGTCTATTGACACCTTCGAGCGAGTAAATCATCTTCATGTCACCTTTGTCAGAACAACTGTGTTATGGCTATAAGGAAACGCTATGGGCAAGGTTAAGACTACTGTGCATGGAGACCTGATTACATTTGCAGCCCCCCCCCACACACACACCCCACAGCAAAACAAGACATGCACAGAATTTATGCAAAGAAACTAAAGTGTAACATTTATACACAGTATTCTACTAAATGTCATTTAATTGGTGTATCTGAAAATGCACTAAACTATTATCTGTAGTTTTCTTATGGGAGAGTTTGCTGTAGCATATCTATTCATATTATCTCCAAGTCTGACGTTTTAAAGAATAAGAATGGTCTGCCTAGCAATATAAAGAGACTGTTGTTGTAATTTGGCGCTTCATGAATAAAACTGAATTGAATCTGACCTTTGTTTTAATCTCTTTTTGCTTTACCAGTTCTATGCAGACACATAGTATGCGCTAGCATAACTAGTATATCTGTGAAGGTTCTCAGTCATCCAGGTCGTCGTAGTCTTTGGAGCTCCTTAAACCATAACTAGTACATTTATTAAGAATGAGTATTTTTAGGAATGAAAGCTGCGTCCTTCAACAGTTACATGTAATTCTCAGTATTTTTTCATAATGCTGTGAGTTCATTTCAGCACTTTGTGTTTGCACATTTGTTAAACAGTAGGAAATTACCCAATCCTAAATGTATTAGTACACACAGTCATTGTTTATATAAAATCCAATATCTTAACACTGGCTAACATCACCACAATTGCGTAGTACTGAGCCCTTTTAAAAACAAAGTTTGAGCTTCATGATTTACATTATTTGTCGCAAATTAAAACTGCAGCGCTTTTTTTGACAACACTGAATCCAAAAGTAGTTCTTTAACAGTGAATCTTCAAGCAAAGGCACCGCCTTCTCTTTCCTCTTCTCCATCTGACATGTTTCTGTTGGTGCTGAGCACGATGGTAGGAAATGCTCAGGTACTGGCCATCAGGTATACGCTATTTTCACGAGGCATTGTGGGATACTTTGATGGCATCATGAAGAGAAATCTGTCTTAAAATGGTTACGAATGCGTACAATATGATCCACAAGCATAAACTAAGACTTACAAATGTGTGCAGTGATTTGTGTGTAACTTTTGTGGACTCACTAATGCGCAAGACACAAATATGAAGCACGTGAAACTATTTTACAAATGTGTTTAAACCAAATCTGAATAAATACTGATTATTTTTCCACAACTTATTACGTTCAGCTCCTGTGTGGTCACATTGCTTTGTGTCTGTATGTGGAGCCGCACTTGTGAGTCTGCACAAGTCCCACAGAAATCGCTGATTTGTAAATCTTAGTTCACGCTTGTGGATCATATCACAACTTCGTAACGCTTTCAAAGGTAACTTCTCTCCGTACTCCAGACAGCAAATGAGAAATTTACTGTACAGTCCAATATCCAGCAAGTAGTGAATGATTTTAGCCATAGCCCTAATTTTGATTTGAGTATTGCAGAACAACAGAAGTCCAAAATATTAAGATCATCATTTTGAGAACAGGAGTCCAAATTTCCACTGGCGTGACTTAAACAGTGATATATGGTGAATGGTGCTTTCTACCTCACTGCAAAATACATAGCTACAAGATTTATGAGCCTCTGTCATCTCTGAGGAAAAATAGGAAACAAAGCAAGCTTTAAGTAAAAATCTTAAATTGTTGAAAGCTGCCATTAAAATGTTGTTGAAAATGTTGTAATTCTAAGACAATATTACTGAAAACGTTTCAGTACACTTTGCTCTTTGTCATGTGGCAAAAGTCACGCTGTGTTTTATACGCAGCAAAAATGTATAAAAGGAAATGCAAGTCTAGTTTGATTCTTCCTTTAAATTCAGAATTGTGCCTTCAGCAGTGCATCATCTTTATGATGTTATGATATAAAATCAGGCCTCTGTAAAAACCACCGCTTCTCGACAACTCAACGTTTGGCCAATACTACAAATTTATCCTTCCTAGATTCTGAGCAGAAGCTGGTCCAGTTGATGCTCCGGTTTTTCAGCTATTTAACGACTAATGACCAACAGGACCAGACATTTCTCAAACACACTGCTGATATTTCAAATATTGGCTGCTGACCTGCTGACAATCAGGTTAGTTATATGATAAGAGCTACTGGCTTTTCTAAAAGAGTTAAAAAAATCTAATAGTTTGCCATTATATATTACAGCTACAATGCACCTTCTTCTTCCTACTTTACAATGTCAATAGCACAGTGGCAAGGAATAAACAAACTATATTAAAAAGTGACGCCAAAAACTCCTCCGTGTTCTCTCGAGTTTAACCCGTGCAAACATTTGATGTAATTCCAAATGTCCACAACTATAGCTTCAATGAAATTCAGGGTTCTTTTCCTATTTTGACTTTTGCATCTTGCTGGAATCGGACGGCTGGTAACAGTAAGCCGTTAAAATGACTACCTCCTATTTCTAACTATATACAAGTAGCTCAGTCTCTGGGAAATTTTGTATATGATACACTCCGGTTGTCCTTTGAGGTGCCAGTTTTATAAATATAAATAACCTATCCAATAAACCAGATTGAAAAGGCCAAAAGCAGTAGGAAAGAATATTCGTGAATAAGAATCGATCTTGGAAACTCGCACGTGCATCCTGTTTTCACGCCAGGCACCTGAACGGCAGTCGTCAAAGCAGCAGAAGAAGCTGGCACAGTCTTTTCCATCTAAACACTCATAAGCGTAATCATCCTCCCCGTGATAGGGTACAATGTTATTCATCTGCAACAGCGACGGGCCGGGCCGGATATTCACCATGCTTGATGCTTTCTGCTGTAGAGGGAACACACACAGTCATTTCCCCGTGTTAGTACTTGATGCTGTGGCTCTTTAATGAAGAAGGGATCAAATAAAAATCTGGTACCTGTGTGTTGCTGGCTTTAGACTTCTTTGTCTGCCTGTTGCTGGTGAAATAGTGCAGAGTGCCATACTCCATCAGAGCAGCAAAGGTGAAGATGAAGCAGACAGAGACAAAAAGGTCCATGGCGGTGATGTAGGAAACCTTTGGCAGGGACTTCCTGGAGATGGTACTGAGAGTCGTCATGGTAAGCACTGTGGTGATGCCTAAAAGGATTGAGACGAATTTAGTGGTAGAATATCAGTCCTACAAATATTCATGAACACATAAAAACAAGGTGGTTTCAATGTTGGACTTGTTTTTAGCTTGACTTGAACGGAAGAATTGCAGTAGTATAAGCAGCAGCACCTCGTAAGACTTAAAGACATAAAGGAAACTTCTACGTTGCAGAACAGACAAGTAATATTTTTAATGTGTATGCAACATCAGCCTTTACTTGGACATTGTTTCCTAACTTTGTCCAAAGTAAAACATAACAAATATTCATTTATTTGGTTAAATTACTTTTCGTTAGTCATCTAAATTATGACAGGATAAAGAAAAGGAAAAATAAAAACACATATATGTTATTCACCTAATTTATATGTAATAGCTGAGTGTTCAGTCACTATTGTGTCCTTTTACTATATCACTGTGAATGCTCCTGCTCACGAGCACATGGCACACATGATAAGAGACAGGGGAAGTGAAATAATATGAACTGAGTTTACCACAATGCTTCCAAAGTTTCTAAAGAATTAGCATAGCAAGAGTGGAAGCATACAAGACAGAAAGCTGATTCTGTTCAACATGAAGCAGCATTTTCAGTGGTTCCATCATGCATTCAATGACCGCAGGTCTTCCCAGCCTTAAAAAAGTAAATCTGCATAATTACCAAACTGGCACCAGTGACTAACACGTGACTAACACGTGACTAACACGGGCCATGAGGTCAGTTTCATGATCCTTAATATACAAATTGCCATAACCATTGATCAGTCTTTCCACATAAACGGCCTCCTTGTCTCCCTGCTCAGACCAGCAGGATGTGAAAGAGTCCAGTAAAAATACAAAATAGTACTTTTACTGGAGTATATTTTTACACTAGTACTTCTACTTAAGTACAGCATATGTGTACTTCTGCCATCTTCACCTGTTAATTCAATTCAATTCAATTTTATTTATATAGCTCCAAATCACAACAGCAGTCGCCTCAAGGCGATCTATAGATCAGTTTTTAAGTTTTGACTCTCATCGTCCACTGGAATATACATTGGGTGGGCGAACACCATCCCCATAGACGCAGTGAGCACAGAAGAAGGCATCATATCAAAAAGACCCAGAGGATAGAGTGTATGCTGTAACCGAACGACCTCTGGCTATGACACGACACAGAGCACGACCTCGTATGGCCGGGTCTATCAGTGATGAGGATGTGCTGGACAGGGACGCTGGTATGAGCAGTGATGAAACACTTACTCCACTGAAAAAGCAACGCAGTAAACAACTTTCAATTTAAGACTGGCTGATTGTGAAAAATAAGGTTACGTTTATTTATTGGGCAGAGAGTATGCAATCTTCCTTTTATAGTCCTGCATACCTTAAACCAGTAACACCATCACAGGGAGAATACTTAACCCTCAACTTTCAGATATCACAGACCATAATGTGTGCTGTATAATTTATAGTAAGAATAGTCAAAAGCTGATTGCAGCTCATTATATAGAAATATTTCAAAGATTAAAGGATATTACAGTAATTTACAGAAACATTTACAGCCTGATTTTATCTGTGCCTGAATTAAATGATCAAACCTAGAGATGTTCGTGCTGGGACGGCGTCCTTGTTAATCCAGAAGGAGACCCAGGATAAAACCACAATCATGCTGCAGGGGATGTAGGTCTGGATGGTGAAGTAACCCATTCTCCGACTCAGGTCAAAAAAGATTGTCATGATGACATATTCCCCTGAAAGTTTAATAAATGAAGGGCAAAAGCAAATTCACGTGACAATGTTGACTCTCTGCTTTCACAAAACAACGACAGCTTGTAGCATAAGATTAAAGTCAACTTTGATACTATGATAGTGAACTTGGTTACAGTCTCTAACCTGATTGCGTGTGTGCGACATCAGACGTGTTCCTCAACCCCACAAAGGCAAACTGGTAGAGTCTCCAGTACCGCTGGTCCGCCACCTCTACTGCTCGTCTCTGCCACCGATACATGATCTCGTTTTTAGGATAACCATCTACAGCCCAAACATAAACATACCTAAACATACATAACTGTGTTTTTGACAAGAAGCTCCACCTGAGGTGTGTATTAAAAAAAAGGAAAAGTCTTTATACATTCATCTGACTTCTATAATGTTTACATGTTCGAAGGTTTAAATGATTCAAAATGCACATTTAAGGATGTCGTTCTAATACTTCTAAGGTTATGGGTTACATGTTAACAAAGCTTAAGAAAGGCCTATGTTTAGGAAATACAATGGCTCCGATTAAGATAAAAGCAAATATCAACTTTTATTTGCATTGACATGCTCAGACTTCATTAACAAGATAAACAAAAAAGTATGAAAAGCTGTTTTTACACCAAATGTCTGTAATGCGTTTGTCCTTCTTCTAGCATGGAAGAAGCGACACTACGAAGAAGATTGAGACAATAAGAGATGAGCAGCCAAAGCACAATGCAAGTGACAAATGAAGGATGAAACGGACAACGTGACAGCACAGAAAAAAGTGCATAATTCATTAAGTCTGTCCAAGACATGGGACTGTGTGGCTTCCTCTCTCTCCTGGTGAAGTAGATGATAGATTGGCACAAGCTTAAAGTAGCCAGCCTCAAGCAGATGGGGCAGTGGGCAAGGAGAGGGCGAATAAAGGCTTAGTCGGTATGATTTTCTGATAAATTACAGAAACTGCAGTTGAGATGACAGACTCAGCAATGAGAGGGGAATATGTTTGACCACCTACAGCTTGAAAACTCCAGTGGACACGAGTGCTCATCCATTGGAAAGTTATGCAGCTTAAGGTAACACTCCGCATTTATAGTCAACCTGACAGAAACAGAATTATGTCAGAAAAAAAAAATATATGTCGGAATTGTTTTTCCCTGCCTAATAGTATTAAAGTCACCGTATGTCTTGTCTTTATTTAAGAGCGTAAATACATAAAAAACTATCAGACGTTGACAAATTGGATTCACTTAAAAGAGAACTACATGACAAAAAGCAGATGTACACACTAAAGCTGCACAAATGACAAATACTTTCAAAGACGTTAGCAAACTGGCTACAAAACTGTCCTACCTTAATGTGTACATGACTCTCCCATTGCTCCACAACCTAAGGAGGCGGTTGGGAGTAGTGATCCAGTGGGCATTTGATTTTCGGGAATTCCGGAAGAATGTGTCAGGAATCCATATTTTGCCTACCATGTTACTGTTGAGCATGAGCAGCTTCATTGAGCTATTGAACTTCAGGCGGCTGTCATACCATGTCTGGGCAAAGAAGATGTCAATTGTGTATTCCTGCAACAGATGTTGGGAATCATGCAAACAAACCAGAACAATTTTTAAACAGTTACTAGAAGAATTTGCTTTTGCCACCTCTATAATGTGTTGCATATTTGACTCAGATGTTCTCTTATCACTTCTCTTTTTTCACTGAGATGTTATAAAAATGACACAAGTTTGTTCAAATGCCTTTGAATGACTTTGATGACACGTTGACCATAGAGAGTGAAATCAAATGATCAACATTCATTAAATAAGTGTTAAAACTGCTAAATAATTAAATCAATTACAATCTTAAATATTGAGATTTCCCCTTAATAAATTGTTGGCACTGTGAACCACGTTTCACTTTATTTAAACAGAGTTTTCAACAAGGAGGACTCTTCCTCAGTGGGTTGAAGTTGAAAGCCATGGAAAAATACTGTTAGGGGACTTCTTTGAAAGAGCATTCAAACTGTAGCATGAATACAAGTTGTCCAGATACTGTTCAGGTTTGTAAAGACATTCAGTAACCCTGGATAAAGAATCTAGAGATATGTTGAGAGGCAGGCTTACCATGTTGATAGGGTCCACTGGTCCAATGCTGTTGACATACACAGCTGTTTCAATCACTGTGGGCCTCACTGAAACACAACAGAGAGATATACTGCACATCACTGATTTGGAGGTGGGGGTGAAGTTATGTTTACTGAAAGCGTGGTCAGAATTGCAGAAATGATGGAAAATTATTTGACCTTTTCTAAGATGTGTCTTAATTTAACTCTAAACAGCAACTCTCGTGTTTGCATAAGATGGAAGATCAAAGATTCAATTCAATTTTATTTATATAGCACCAAATCACAACAACAGTGGCCTCGAGGCGCTTTATATTGTATAGAATAATACAATAATACTATTATTCTACTATTATTCCAAAATTGCCCTGAAGATCAACTCTGCACAACCTGATAGTGGAAGAGAGAAGCCAAAGGGGAGCTGATACTCACGACAGCACACAAGTTCATATGCTGAGCGACACTATTTGGCGAACTATATTCTTCACAGACTTTACTTATGTAACAGTAATGAGGTGACTCGTTACTCTTACTGAACTTTTAATTAAAAAAGAAAGAAAAAATATTTATCATTAAATCTGAATTCATAAGAGTCTATCTAAATACTTGTGGAAGCATGCAGTGCAGACTTAATCACTCTATAATTGTCATGGTTCTGGGTCTTGGATCCAGTGTTTCTGGACATTACTGCTTATTAAGAATATTCTATGTGATTCTGAGGTTCATGGCCTTCGGTTCTTAGTAATCTTAGAGTTCTTCCTCAGTCCTGTGTTTAGTCAGCCTTGTCTTCATGTTGTTTATCTCCTGTCTCCGTGTTTGATGTTCCCTTTCTGTCTTCTCAGTCAGTCATGTCTGTCTTTTCCCCCGGCTCTCACTGTCCTGCCTGTGTCTTAGTCTTTGTTTATCGTACTTCCTGTTTTATTTTGACAGTCTCTTGTCCTGTGTACACTGTATCCTGTTTTCTTCCCCCTGTCCTGTTGGTCTGTATCAACCCCAGCTCTGTTTCCACCTGTTGCCTCCTCTCATTATCCTGTGTGTATTTAAGTCCTCAGTCTCCTTCTGCTCGTTGTCATGTCGCCCTGTTTGTCGTGTGTTCCCATGTCTCCTGTGAACGCTGTATTTCCCCTCATAACCTCTGAGCCTCCTAGTTCTCTGTCACTAGTTCTCTAGTTTTTTTGGTTGTTTCAGTTAGTCTTTTTGTATTTTTGTTTGTAGTATGGTGTTAGAGCAAATAAAGTTGCCTTCTTTAGTTACTCCCTTTGTTTCTAAGTGCATTTGGGTCCAAGCTCTGCCTGCCACACAGTGTCACATGACTTAATGTTGTAATATCTTTATCATACAATGAAAAGTCCCTTAAGATAACTATAATTGTGAATTTAGGTCAGCTAAATTGAAGTGATGTACCTCCAATGTCAGGCCGTAGTTTGTTGTCATAACCTTGCAGCAGTTTATTAAGGATCAGCGTTACATCGCTCTCATAGACCTTTGGTGATAACACCCAGGTCTTATTTATGGGTACATCTTCATAGTCCTCTTCGTCCTGTTTACTGGGTTCAATAGCTGAACTGTGGAGGAGAAAACATTGTGAAAATCAAACACACACACACACACACACACATATACTACCAGCAAAACATTTGGACACACCTTCTCCTTTATTGGTTGGTTCCTTATTTTTACCACTTTCTACATTGTAGGTACACACTGAGGACATTAAATATATGACACAAGATATAAGGAATGATGCAGCAAAGAAAAATGGATAAAAATGTCTTATATTTCAGATTCCTGTAAGCAGCCGCCCTTTGCTTTGTTGACAGCGCTGCCAACCCTCAGCCTCTCAGTGAGCTTCATGATGTCGTCACCTGAGATGGTTTCACCTCACAGGTGTGCCTGTCAGGGTTTGTTTGTGGAAGGCTCTGCCTCCCATTCTACTTTTAACCCTAAGAAGCACAAGTAAGTCTGCAGTCTGGCAGCAAAATGCTCAATTGGGCTGTACTATCAGGTCTTCAAGATAAGATGGGGCCTGATTATTCAGTACCTTGTATGTGAGGAGCAGGATTTTAAATTTTATTCTGGATTTAATGTAGTATATTATAGGGGTATGGGAGAAATCTGCTCTCTTTCTAGTCCCTGTCAGGACTCTTGCTGCAGCATTTTGGATTAGCTGAAGGCTTTTCAGGGAGTTTTTAGGACTTCCTGATAATAATGAATTACAGTCGTCCAGCCTGGAAGTAATAAATCCATGAATAAATCCCCAGCAAACGGTATGGGGACTGTAATTAATTTTAGATCACTTTAATAGTTAATTGCATACTGAGCACTCAGAATAAAATAAGTACAAAAGTTGTTGAGAGTTGTTTGTGCAGACTTAGTGGAAGGCCAAGTGTAGGAACTTAGTACGTAGCCTGAAGCTGATGACTCGTGAGCTGGAGAGGAAATGGCGTGTCACAAATTTAGAGGATCATCATTTAGCCTGGAGAAATAGTTTTGCTGCTTTATAAGAAAGCCCTCCGCAAAGCCAGAACATCTTACTATTCATCACTGATTGAAGACAATAAGAACATCATAATCATAACTGTAAGCTGTTGGAGTGGGAGGCTCAATATAACACAGTAGAGAAAAAAAAACTGGGTATTCAGTGGTCGGGGTCCTCCACTGTTACCTCCTGGTTACCCACACTTCACTCCAGTGGCCACACCACATGAAAGCTGCACCCAGATCATTCAGTGGTCTCTCTGAAGTACTCTTTCTGCAGTGATTTGGATTTACTGAAGGCTTTTAAAGTAGCCTAGAAATAATAACTGCATGAACTAGCTTTTCAGTATCACTCAGAGACAGAACGCTTCTCTTTTAGTAATATTAAGCAGATAAAAGGACAGGGGTGCAACGCAGTTGTTTATTGAGCAAAATCTCTCACAGGTTAGAGTAACGTTATAGAAACACTATTACAATTTTAGAGTAAAGCACAATTCCTGAGCTTCCACAGAACTGTTACACATATTTTTTGTTTGTTTCGTTATTTTCTCTGTTGCTTTTCAATCTTCAGTGCTCCCAGTTTGGGTGAGCCTGGGTCCACTAGAGTCTTCAATGATTCACACTCCAATGGATGCATCAAAGAGCAACTTGGGGTTTGTATCTTGTCCAAGGATATTTGGCATGCAGACTGGAGCAAACAGGGATTGATCCACCAACCTTCCGATTAGTAGGTGACCTGTTCTAATACCTGAGCAACAGCCACAAATATCCAGAATAAACAAATATCCAGGACGTCTGTCATCTCTGCTAAAATATTGCTAAAGTTGGACCTATCTCATTCAGGCTGCTGGGAAACATGACCATGCATTTGTTAATTCTAGGCTGGAATTCACAGAATCCCGACTATGGTTTCTTACAGACTGCTCCTTTTAAAAGACTTTTATTAGCAGGCTTTTCTAAAAGTTCCCTGAAAGTTCCCATTGTTGCAATTTCTGACCTTTTTCTTTCAAATAGGCTTTATAACACACGCTCACATCCACTCTCTTTATCACTCACAAACACACATGCACCCACACACCAACACACACACAGTGAAAATATATATTTGCTTGTGTACCTTCCTGTTTTGTCTTTCAGGTGTCGTGTATTGCTTGTGAGTGCTTTGTTACAGATCCAGATTGTCTGTTTGTTTCCTCCTGGATTTTCCCCCATCACCATTCTTTTCTCTCTTTCCTCTCTCCACTTTTTTCTCTTATCTTTTGCCAATCTGTTCTAGACCCACTGCCTGCTCCAGCATAATATCCACACAGACAATAATATGGATAATAACACAACCAAAACATTACCAAGAGGAGCCTACAGAGAGTCTACGTTGGCCCTGTTGGGAAATATGTTTGGCACAACAAAGCATTTAGACCATTAATCTGCTTGCTACAACTGCTGGACAGGACAGGTTAAAAAAAAGTTCCCTGAGAAGACTTCAGCTGATCCAAAACGAGTGAGAGTGGGATAGATATCCTTTTTTATTACTCTGTGTTAAATCCAGAATTGTTTGTAAAATGATTCTTCTCATATACAAAGTCCTGAATAATCAGGCCATATCACGTCTTAAAGACCTGTTAGTATTGCGTGCTAACAGTAAAGCATTTTGTTCTTAGACTTCAGGCTTATTTTTGGTTTGGTGAGTTTCCAAAAGTAGAATGTGAGGCAGAGCCTTCAGCTATCAGGCTCCTGTGGAATAAGCTCCGAGCTAGGATTTACCGGACACGCCCTCTCTACTTTTAAGAGAAGGCTTAAAACCTTCCTTTTAATAATACTTTTAACTATACTTATGGACCAAGCCTCATTTTTGTAGCTAAAGGCTTTAGGATGCTGGAGGACTTCCAATGATGCATTGAGCAGTTATTCAGTTCTCCACTCCCCTCTTTTGGCGTCTGCATTAATTTTAATCTTCTGTCTCTCTATGCTCTCGTTTCTTCTTTTCTCCTTCCTACCAAACCCCAACTAGTCACAGTAGATGGATGCGGCTCCTTGAACCTGGGTCTGCTGCACATCAACTGATGAGTCTCTCTCAAATATTTGTTTTTACCTTACAAAGTCCTTAAAGTGACTGTTTCAGAGAACTGGTGCCAGGGTTGTGTTAATAAAGCTGAAGTTGATTCAGAGAGTCATGACATAATTTACACCTTGGTGACAGAAGTCCTGAGTATTAGAAGTCTTTTGCGTCAGTCCAAGAACTAAATAATCAGCTATGTGTTCACGAAGAGCCCCAGGATATTCTACTGATGTAACAAGACAGATAAAGCCTTATTACCTTCTCAGTAATAAACCTGTATGGAGGTCAAATAAAAATCTATTAGACGCGACTGAGAAAAACGCTGAAATGAAAGCCAAACTGTTTTGCTGACAAATAAGGATTATTTGCGCTGTGGTCTCCTCCAACACCACAGCTCAAATAGCATCCTGCTATAAAACCACCACAAGAAAAACGCAGCGGATTATGTCGAGGACAGAGCGCAGAGGCGGCGACATCTGCAGCCATTATCTCAATTCGTTTGTCGGTGTTAACTCGATCGAGACATTGCTGCTCATTTGCATCAACACACACTTACCAGACACCCAGAAACACGTAGAGCAGCCAGTGATACATGTCTTTGTCTTGCGCTTCTCTGAAAAGCAGGAGTTTTATCCTCTCCTCTGGAGCGAAGCACGCAGCGCTGTCCACGCCAAAAATGGAAATCGCGGAATTTCGTCAGGTCGCGTATAAATCCTACCGATGATGCTCAGTGTAGCGACGGAACAATGTGAGATGGGTCCATGATAAGTGTGGAGGGGGAGGAGGCTGCTGCCAAAGAGCTGACTCTGCTGTAGTTCATCTGCAGTGGTAGCAACAGTGTTCTGATAGATGCTGCGCTGATAGCCCAGCGGTGTCACGGAATCATCCGTCCTTTTGTATTAAATGATCTAAAACTTAACCGTT